CAGTGCAACAACAAAAAGAATGTTGAGACTGAAGTTATTTTGAGCTAGGGTTCGTTGTTGGCAAAAATTCAACAATCATTTCATTGTATAACGACTACAGGAAACCCAAGCTAGTTTCAGGAAATCTCTGATTCCACAAAATGGATCAGTAAATGCAACATACTGCGCATCATCCACTGAGAACTGTGCGCAACCAGTCCATGGTGCAACTTAATGGGCCAAATTATAATCTGAGACCCCTATTGGGGGAAAGAAAAAAAAAATTCGAAATGCCCAATATCTTCCATGAGAAAAATAATAGGAGCAGTTATTTATAAGTCTTTAAAGTCCCTTCTGGAAAGCAAGTCAATGCCAATACACTAATTTTCCACAATTTATTGAAATGCCCTGTTTGCAATAAGTGTTCGTAAATAGCAGTGAAATGCAACAAGTTTCTTAAGGACTTAATACATTTGTAGGTTTTAAAATGGTTTGTAAATGCAAAGACTTAATGCACCCTTTCTTTGAGACATATACAGAAAATGTACATAACAGGGCTGGATTAAAACTATTGCTTCACTGGACAATTAAACATTATCTTCATTAATTATTTATAAACCCCAATATTTATTGCATTGGAAAATGGAATTTGGAATTCTAACAAAATAACCTGCTTTGCAGTGTTTCTTAAACATTAAACCCAGCTTGGGGGTCAAGAAACCAATGTTTCCTGCTACAATCAATCATTTTTTTCTTTACATGACATATCCCACCGTTAGTATCCTGTTTAGCGTAATTCTCTTACAAAATTAATAGTTGGCTTTCTAAGAGGTGAGCAATTCTTTTAAAAAGTCTAATATTATAAAAACAGCATGAATCAGGAAAAGAAGCGTATAAAAGCCAATGATTGATATAGGTACAGAATCTAACAAGAAGCATTGGCTCAATTAAAGTCGGACAGCACAAAAAGTTTGCACAACAATCTCACAAACCTGTTAGTGTACGTGAATGTTCTCGTAGTGACTGGACAGGAATTGCAGTCTATAACTCTACATCAAGGTCGTTGGACGTCAGTATTAATGTCTTGCAGGCAAGGTGCAACTAATGGTTCTAAATTACGAACGAGTTCTCTCCACCGAGTGGCAGCAGAGGCCCGCAAAAAAAAAAAAAAATTATAATTTGCAGAAGGCAAAAGAAATGTTTCTCTCCGGGAATGTATGTAAAGGCGACCTATTCACTAAAGAAGTCAATAAATGAGTTGATAAATTCAGGTCATAAGAGTCATGTTGGACAATTTTTTCAAATTCAGGTATTTTAAAGTTCATTTCGAAATTCCCATTTCAGAGAATCTGTTTTGTTTTTTTTGTAAAACACCAACAGCAATGGCTTGCTTTATTGTGAATACAACAGAAATAGCCACTTGTTCTTATTTAAAGGAACAACAATTCTACAAAACAATAAATGGCAAGTACATTTAATTGGGTGCATTGGTCAACTCCAGTTAGCACTTTAAGGGTTAAACATAAAGCTAGCTCAGGAATGAAAACAGCCTAAATCTAGTTTCTAGACCAAGGTGACCTGCTTGCAATGCAAAAAAAAGAAAAAAATTCTTTAGGGCTATATAAAAATACCACGTTCTTCGACAACTGTGTAAATTTTACGGATTACACCTAGAAGCATGCACTTTAATTGGTCTCCCTAGATGAAAAGAAGATATATCCCCCTCCTTCCCGATAACGTATAAGTAAACGCAAGTTTACGTTCCCATTCTGTATCCACCAGCACATGTAGCAGGTCATGTTTTATAAATTAAAGGAACACTATAGTCACCTAAATTACTTTAGCTAAATAAAGCAGTTTTAGTGTATAGATCATTCCCCTGCAATTTCACTGCTCAATTCACTGTCATTTAGGAGTTAAATCACTTTGTTTCTGTTTATGCAGCCCTAGCCACACCTCCCCTGGCTATGATTGACAGAGCCTGCATGGAAAAAAAAAACTGGTTTCACTTTCAAACAGATGTAATTTACCTTAAATAATTGCATCTCAATCTCTAAATTGAACTTTAATCACATACAGGAGGCTCTTGCAGGGTCTAGCAAGCTATTAACATAGCAGGGGATAAGAAAATCTTAATTAAACAGAACTTGCAATAAAGAAAGCCTAAATAGGGCTCTCTTTACAGGAAGTGTTTATGGAAGGCTGTGCAAGTCACATGCAGGGAGGTGTGACTAGGGTTCATAAACAAAGGGATTTAACTCCTAAATGGCAGAGGATGGAGCAGTGAGGCTGCAGGGGCATGTTCTATACACCAAAACTGCTTCATTAAGCTAAAGTTGTCCAGGTGACTATAGCCAGGGGCGTACCTAGAGCATGTGGCACCCGGGGCAGGTCCTGGGTTTGGCACCCCCCCTCTCCAAAAATTTTTTTTAAAATGTGTTGTAAACTTTTTCAAACCCCTGCCCCCTTCTACAACATCCCTGCACTTCCTCACACACAGTTACAGACAGACAGTCACACGCACACAGTCACATGCTGACAGTCACACCTATAGTCACAGGTAGTCATACACACATTTACAGGTAGAGAGTTACACACACACAGTCAGTTACTAGCAGTTATACACAGTCACGCACACTGTTACAGGCAGTCACATATACAGTCACAGGCAAACAGTCATACACAGTTACAGCCACACACACACACACAGTTACAGGCAGACCGTTACATACACACACACACACACAGTTACAGGCAGACCATTACACACACATTTACAGGCAGACAGTTACACACACACACACACACATATTTACAGGCAGACAGTTATACACAAACACAGTCAGTTACACACAGTCACGCACACTGTTACAGGCAGACAGTCATACACATAGTTACAGCCACACACACAGTTACAGGTAGACAGTTCCGCACACACACACAGTTACAGACAGACCGTTACATTCACACACAGTTACAGACAGACCGTTACATTCACACACACACACACAGTTACAGGCAGACCATTACACACACACACTATTACAGGCAGATATTTACACACAGGTACACACAGTTACAGACAGACATTCACACACACATATTTACAGGCAGACAGTCACACACAAACACACACACACAGTTACAGGGTCAGGCCGGCAGTCACACACACACTCTTACTAGGAGACAGTGTGTGCTGGAGGAGTGGATTCTCTGGCCTGAAGTCCTTCCCTGGAGCCTGTTAGGTGGAGGAGCAGGGATTTCTGCTTGCTGCACCTCCATGTGCAGCAGTAACAGCAGCTTGTAAGGGCTGTGTTAAGCCCCGCCCCGCTCACGGTTAGGCTCCGCCCCTAAATGTCCATCACTCCGACCCCTTCTTCCTCCCGTGCGGCCAGTTTAGCATGCTGGTCTCCGTGTGAGCTGTGTGACACCCCAGCTGCCATGGGGCACAGCTCACACATCCCCCTCCATCCCCAAGACCAGGGTCAAGGCATCCCCCCTACCAGGTGGCACCCAGGGCAGACTGCCCCCTCCACTCCCCCCTTAGTCCGCCACTGACTATAGCGTCCCTTTAACCCCTTAAGGACACATGACGTGTGACATGTCATGATTCCCTTTTATTCCAGAAGTTTGGTCCTTAAGGGGTTGTTACGGGCAAATGCAAATATTACAAGTTTTAGAATGAAATGTTGTATTTCTTAAACTGTGTACTTTGTCTTTAAGAGATATTGCAAACTGACAAGGTGTTAGAAATGGAACATATTGTTACTTTTTCATATTTGAACTACAGTAACCTAAAATGGAGACACCTAAGGTATAAATAGGTGTACTTTTAAATGTTAAGACACAGAGGAGAGACTTGGAGACAGACGCTGCTCCATCTTAAAATGACAGAGAGGCTGACATGACGACATGTTCAGAAGGGTATGTTAACCTATTAATGATATTTGCAAGCATGTAATTTAATCTTATAAACTCTGCTATAATGGATTTTATATTTTTATATAATAAATATCCAAAAAGAGAATCTTGCTTCCAAGACAATCCTTATTTTATATTGTATTCTCAATTATTTATATATGTTAAATAGAGGATCTCTTACACTATATCAAATTATGGCTAAGATATCTGTATGGTTAGCCCTACTAAGTTCTATGCTTTAAGACATTATAGTGGTAAATAAGGGAACCACACACGGTTACAGGTTAATGTAGATCAGAGCAAGAGAAGGCATGAACTAACCAGCTGCAACATCACAGATAAAATAAAATCACAGAATTTAGCTGCTAAAATTATATAATTAATTAAAAAAAAAAAAATAACAGAATTCTGCAGCTGTGGAAAATATAATTTATAGGGATGCACAGAAATTAAAATTCTGGGCCGAAACCGTAAATTCAGGATGCCCTTAGCCGAAAAGGACTTTTTTTTTTCTTTTTTTATTCTTTATTTTTGATTGTGCAGATGGTTACAAGATGTCAACGGACGCCACAACAGCGTATTTCAAGCTTCATAAAAGATAAACAGTGGCATGATAAAGCGCACATTTTTATATTTTGCATGCTTAACTAAACAGTTAGTTTGTAAGAGTAGGACAAAATAAAATACAGATGCTTAATCTTTCTAGTTCGCCTATGCTAGAGTCGATATAGTGTGAGCACGTTTTGTAGCAGAGCAGTATCTAGTTATGAAATAATGCATAGAGACGCTATGCTATGAGTATTTAGGCTATGAGACATCGTATTATGAATAACAGTGCTAAAACTTGCCTACATTATAGAGTAACATCACTAATCTCTCTGTACAGGATTGCCCTGTGGCACAACGGATTATTACTAAATACTAAACCACTGGAAACAAGTGTAGCCATTGACATCATGTTGATCACAGATGACTGCTAGCATGGGTGTATAGTCTGCATAGGGTATGCATGAGGCATCTGAGTCCGGGTGCTTCGTTATTATGAGGGCTCGGAGCAGTCCAGGCTAAGAATACCTGTGCAGGGCGGCATAATGGGTGCTTCAGCCAATACCTAGTGCTGGTAAGTCCCGGATTTTGTCTCTCTCGGTCTCTCCATTGTCGCCCCTTGGCTTGCTGGCGCTACTTCTGGGTCCGGGTCCGGCGATACCTCGTGGAGTATGTTGCCGCGCAGTCATTTGTGTTGCATCGTTTTTTGTGTAGAGTCGGTTCTTGCTGCACTGGATGCCAAGGTGTTGGACAGGTGAGGTACTGGTTTGCATTGTTTCCTTTATAATCCCGGGTGTTTTAATTTGCGGGTGGAAGAGTGCGCCCGATATGCCTGCCGCCATTTTCCATTTCTGGGCCCGCTGGTATCTATAAGCAAATAGGCGTTGCTGGCGAGGTCTGCTGGGCATTTTTATTTGAATTGTGGGCACATCTTGGACTGGGTCTATAAGCAATAAGCAAGAGAGATTCCTTAATCCGGACGGATATCCACTACGCAAGGTTTCGTTACAGCGCCAGCCCGGAGAAAAAAAAGAAGCTGATTATGGCATTTGCAGCATGGCACTTATACAGAATAAATACAGATAAGTGTGAATCTGTTACATATATGTATTGGGGAAAGATACTTACTAAGATCTACTGCCTAAAAGCTGCCACTCCCAATTTCTACAAATATACCATATATATATGGCCATATAATAACCCACCTGTTGATAACCCATATAGGAAGTTTTCAAAAGTGACTTTTTGGGTTTAATATCCTAAGAAATCTGTAAATTAAAAACTGCCACTTAGCCAGCAGGCAATGGTAGATACGCCTTGCATTGAATTTACAAAAAGAAGAAAATTCCGGCAGAAGATACATCTTCTATATCTTTTAGATATGTGTTATAACAGCAAGTAACACAGAAGAAAGTTTATCAGGCAAAACGAGCACTGTTCATTTTTAACAAAATAAACCATAAAGAAAAGTTCTTAAAAATTAGTTTTGCCTTAAATAATTGGACTCAATAAGCTAAGAAGATTGTCCAAAGGAGATCCGCTGCTAGACGTTGGATGTGTGGATATGTCCACATTAAATTATAAACAGAATAGATTTTTACAGATGAAGATTTTGTCACGGAGCTGGTATTCCTACTCTCTATAGGTGAATATGGCCATATAACAGGTTACACAGTAAGTCTTCTAAATGTGACTTGGCTCCTAAATCACGGACTTAACTACCTAAGAAGATTGCA